GTTCATGCTCCTGCAGTTCAAACTTGTTTTTCCTGGAGACGGATGCGAAAAGTCTGAGTCTTTTATTGTTGTGGGGTTCAGGGAATAAAACTCGTCACCGGAGATTCATAAGAAAATATTTGAAACTGAATTTGGAGTCTATCTGTTGCATCAATCTCTTCTTGCTTTGAAGGACTGACAGAGTATTGGATCACCCATCAGTGTTAGTGATTTGTCCATTAGGACAGATCAGCATGGATTGAAATAAACAGAGACTGCAGCAGACGTCTGATCAAGCAGATTTACAGGAAAGCATGGCAGCGCATGTGAGAGTGCGTGCTGATTATTGTCAGGCTCATACAAACATGTTATGTGTGTCTGTTTTGTGAATGACATTTTTTTAACGATCATTTACACTTTGGCCTACTTTTTCATAAAAAACCCTGAAGGCCACTGTAAGCATGCGTTCAATTCTGCCAAAACTAATGTTATGCTTTTGGTGCAAGATATTCAGATTTAGAGATTATAACAAACAATGAGAGCTCACACAGAGGTCAGGTTGACTCAGATCAAGGAAACAAAACTTTTAAATCATGAAAATTAAAGAATTTCAAATTGGACAATATTATTTTACAGAAATATTTTAAACTGCTGATTTTGACTTAAATTTCTCTATTTCAAAATGTTATGCCAGGTAATCTTAACCCTCAAAAAATTAGATTTTCAACTATGTGTGACGTCATCCATTGTGATGTCTTCATGATTTATCACTTAAGACATCTGCTGAGGAATAATTGGCTTCAGATTGTCTCTAACTCTATTTTTTATCTCAGAAAATGTGTTTTTCGGACGATGTTCTTGTTGACCTTGCCCTCTGACCGATCAGCTCCAAAAGTTAATCATTTGGAGATAAACCTACAAGTTATAATCCCAACGAGTTTGATTAAAATCTGCCCATGGGCTGTTGAGTCTTTTTGTACACACACTTACACACTTACACCGACAGGGTTGAAAATGACATCCTGCCTCTTGCTACACCAGCAAGGAGGGTAATACGTTTATAACGTATACTGTATATCTACAATAAAAAAAGGTGTCGTAATCTGCACTCTGAGATTTATAGTGTGTTTCTAAATGTTTGGTGGTTTTGTCCAGTGGAAGCTTCAGGCAACATTGGTTGTTTTGCAGGGGATGATCGGCCATAGTTGCTTTAGTGCTTTTTAACAAATATTGAACGACTTCATAGAATCAGCAACCTGGAAAGCATGTCTGCATCATAAGTGTTTGCAGGAAAAACAAAACAGATAAGAAAATTAAGAAAATAAAGATGAAACCACAATAGAGGAAGAATCTGCCTGCGGGAAACTGGAGGACACAGAGAGAGCGTCATCTTCAGAGCATCAGTGTGAGTTTGCATTTTAACTCTTGGTGTGGTTTCATTTTTGAAGTTTCTCTGTGATAATTACAGACGTCCGTCCTCTGATTAAATATTAACTTTTTTTCCCCTGATGCATAGAAAATCATGATAATATGATTGAAGCTGAATTTGAAGCTGTGTCTTCTGAGCAGCAGCTTCTCTTCAAATCAGTTCATGAGGGAATTACATGTAATTTTAATAAACCAGAGAGTCTACAGCACAACAAGAACTGCTTCTCTCCAGGAACTCGACAACTTTGATATTTTGCTCCAACAAGTAAAGCCTTTATTGTATAAATATATACTTTTTGCATGATGTTTCTTGAATATAGAAAACATTCCACATCATAGAACTGTGTCTTATAAGTTGCAAAATGGACGTATATGTCATTAAGACGAGTTAGGCTATGATCATATGTCTCGCTCTCTCACACACACACATGCACACACACCCCTTTTGCAGTCATACACTGAGCAACTGCGAGAATCACATTGGATCTGTACGTGTGCGTATCTGTCCCAGCAAACAAGCCTGATAACAGGGAGCTTTAAAGGGAAACATCTGGATGCTGTAATTCCTGATGCCGCCCGGGAGTCTTTGTTTCAGCCACATCATTTTCTGTTTGTTGCGAAACTGCCTGCTGCAAACTACCTTTTGGTTTCTGTGCAGAAAGAGTTTTGCGGACACGACTCAAGTAGTGCAGATTCATAAAACAGCCTGCAAAAGTAGCCCACCGATATACTGAGGTTGACCCAACGTGATCCCCAGCAGCACCATCTGAGACACAGCCTGCATCCCAGCTAACCTGATGCATATCAGAGGAGAGAAAACCATTGCTGGAAACGTCTGCACTAAAATCCTGAGTTTATGTGGGATGGCACCGCTACATGAGCAGCTACTAACATTCTGTGTTTCGTGGGATGTATATCTACACTGATGGTTTGAAAACAAACATTAAAATGAACAAATGTACAAATGTGGCTGCAGTTTCTGTGTGAAATGTGGACGTTGTTTCAGAATGAGGTAATATTAATCAGATATATCCCAACTGGAGCATGAGGCAGAGCAGATGGGGGTGAATCAAATGAGATTTTGTGAGTTTGTGCGGTGCATAAACAACAGCTCTTCATTGAGATGATAGAAAACATGAGGGAGTAGATTTTTTTTCCTTGGGTGTGTAATCTAAGATCATACAAACAAATTGATCTGGAAACTAAAGAAATCCAAGTAGAAAGAATGAATTCAAACATCCCCACACCGAGGAAGAGGGAAGCGTCGCTCAGAATCACAAGCAAGTTGAAAATTGCTTGAACTTGTCTTTTAAATTCCAGTGAATCACTTGCAAAACTTTTACATTTTGTTCAGCAAGTGTTGAACTGCTCTAAGAAGTTGATGAAATTTGAAATAAGTTTTCCTTGAAATAATCTTCATTACTCAGTCTAGACCTCAGACTGTTTATAAAGATGGATGACACGTCCCCACCTCCTCCCACTATCCAGAAATCAAAATATCAATCAAAGTTAGTCTCAGGTGTCAATCGTGACGTTATACCCCGTTTCTTTCTCGCATCAAATAATTAATAATGAATTAAAACCTGAAAGCTTTTTTGAGATAAATGTATTGAATGTGTATATTTACTTTTATCTATGACATGTACTATAGCCAGCCACCAGGTGGCGATCAAGACACTTTGGCTTCACTTTTGGGGAGCTGTTGCGTCGGCCATCTTTACATACACACAATAGTAGTGAGTCGTATAAGCTGTGAAGTGGCTCCTCCCACAGTTTATATTCTTCATCCGCTTTTACACCTACAACCGCTTTCAACTGCTTCTTCTGCAAATTCAAACGGACTCAATTCAACTCTGAAGGAAATAAATGTCCAAATAAAATGGAGGACAAGTGGAAACATTAATGAGAATAAAGAGCTTCTCATCTCAAATTCTGGAAATGTAATAGCAGCACATGAATTTAACATTACAGTGTTAATGGTACACTCGTAACGTTATAATTCAAAACATCAACAGTCATCTGGAGATTAATGTGATAGGACTGGATACGTGTCCACTGTTGTAACAAAGTTGGCGAATAAATCCATGAGGTAAAAAACAGCATCTAAATGAAAAGCTGTTTTAATCATCTTAAATCCAGGTTTTATTTATAAACTGAGAGCTAATGTACTGAGGCTTGGTAGCATTTGCTTTAAAGGTGGTTTTTGCCCTAATGAGCTCCTGCGCTCTGTTTTCACTCTACAGAGATTTGTACATCAATCTTGACCTTGAGGCCCCGGGCCCGACGCTCTCTTGTTTCTGGACATTCAGCCTCATTTTGGTCTGCGACCTTCCTCCGTCCTCCCTGCAGCTGCTCCTGATGCCAGCGAGCGCACTCAGACCGGATGGACCCCCGGCTGGGAACAGTCGCGGCCCTCTGCCAGCGGATCATTTCACATCCATCAGTGCTGCAAAAAGATAAGATGTGAAATGAAATATTTGATCTTGACTGTTTGTTTTCAGGAGGCAGGTCACAGATGAACAAATCAAAGCTTCTCCAGGTGATTTTTTTCCTCGTATTTCAGTTGTTAGTGGTCAGGATATTGAACGTTGAGAAAATCTGGTGCAATTGTGATTCAGACTAGAGAGTAAAAGCAAACAACAGTGAGGTTGGATTCTCCGTAAAACACATCCAGATATCCTGTTCTGTTCTGTCTCCGTGCTCTCATCAGAATGTGACTGAGCGGTGGCCAAACACCGCTCAGCCCACACACAGCTGCGGAGCCAGAAAGTCAAATCCTGAATTCGCAGTGTTGAGGAAATCCCCCAGCTTTGTTTTAGCAAGAGATGAGTTTCATATCAGGGCAAAGAGCTTTACTTTCAAAAGATAATCAGCTCAGCTAAGATTTATGAGTGAGGGGGCGTCCCTCTTTATCACAAGAATCTCTCAAGGACTCTTCTTTTTTTCTGAGAGCACCTCCTCTAACACCCTAACATGACTCACTTGGACCAACTGTGCACTTTCTCCAGCCGATTTCCTCGTACTTTGTCTTTTTAGACAGATTTAGCATTTGGTGCACATACTCTGAAGGGACGTTTGTTGTCCCTCACTATGTGGCTTTGGAATAAAGTGTGTAATACTTTAAAATTCAAAATTATAACACAAACTATTGAAATCTAACCAACAGCTGCTCAGTGTGTGATGAGTCATGATACATCAATGTTACTCCTGGGTCACTGTTTCCTGGTCTTATGCTGCTCTCTGGTGGCTGATGTTGAGATAATGTTCAGCTAAGAGAAGAAGCCATGTCGCCCACAATTAACTGACCTGTTAATTTTAGCTTCATGCTCATTTTTAAATAAGCCGTTGAAGCTCACTTTCCCTCAATAGTATAAATCAATATGTAGGAGATGGAAATAAAAACATAGAATAAAACCCACATCTTAATTTCCTACAAGAATACGATGGGAACAGACAGAGAATCCCATCAGGGTCTACTTTCTTTATAATACAATTACCTTGTATTCCTTTGCAGTAATGTAGACGCATGAACATAAATAGGCATAGTTATGAAATGAACTTGTCAGATTCAGTAAGTTTCAGTTAAGTGCGACTCCAGTCTGAAGGAATAGAGGGTTCGTATGAATTACGAGTGTTGAGTATCTCATACCTCATCACAACGGCATGTTGAATTGTTGCTAAACTTGGAATGTGGCTATGGTGTAGGAGCTTAAACAAATTGAGATTAATATCAACATCAGTTGAGTCCTTTGTATCCAGGCCAAAAAAAACCCAAGACAATGATTTAAAAAAAAATAATAACGATAACAAATCACTTTAAGTGCTTTAGTTTCCATTTCATTTCAATGTATCACACGGGAGAGGCTGATATTAGTTTAAGGGGGAAAATGAGAAACAAATCACAGTTGATGTATTAAGTGGCGGCTGGAGAAAAGAATGAGCATTAAATAACTAAGTAATGTCAATTTACAGATGATCTCTGCATCGCAGAACAAGTACAGAAGAGTATGAAGAGAAAACGAGTGCTTAAATGTGACAATTAACATATTTTTTGGGAAATCTAGAAATATAATATAAATATAGTGCATTCTAAAATATATAGATTAATATATATCTCTAGTTTCAGATTACTGAATGAAATAAATAACGCCTTAGATGGTAAATAGGCTGCAGAATTTCCACAACTAAGAACATTACAATTGGATCCTAAAGCAAAAAAAAATATTAAAGTGGATTGAAAACATATCAGAAACAAACTGTACACAAACAGTTATATATTTACATTCAGCATTACAAAACATTCATGGCTTCAAATCAGGGGAAAACATTTGAGTCTAATACAAGTTTTTCATCTATGTTTGTGGTTACATGAGAAATAAAAAAGCTGAAAAATTACATATGAAATAAAAATTTCATGAAGTAACAACTAAAAAGAAAGTCGGTGCAAAGTTCTATGAGCCTATAAAAGATAAAAACGTGAACTGGTGCTGAAATTATAGATAAATAGAACCATGTCAGTATCTTGTGATGTGACAAAATATCTACATTTTATCTTCACTATGGTTCAGAGTCAACGTGTGCGTCACACCAAGGTTTCTGGCAGAGCCTCTGAATTTTCCTTTGACAGTATCTGCCATATATGCCACCTCTCTGTCTGCCAGTTTGGCCTGCTCGACTTTCGTCGTCCACGTCCGGAGGCGTCTGTCATATCTCCAGTCTGGGAAGCAGAGCTGTGCTGGGACTGTTGGGCTGTTTGAGGGTCAGACGGACACGTGAAGAGAGAGGGTGTGGAGTGAGATATATGGGTCTCCCTCAGAGGTCCAGAGTAGTCGAGGGGAGACAAACGCCCCACTCTGACCTTTAACAACGGACATGAAGGGAGTCCTGTCCTTGCCGCTAAGTCGTCTGAGCTAATGGCTCCTGATTGGCTGCTCAGTCCTTGATGTAACGACGATCCCGGTCGTCTGTGTCCCAGCCGGTCAGGAGGACCGCTGCTGCTGCTGCGAGTCACCGGGAGGTGTGGTCTGCAATCCAGCACACCCAATGAGCTGTGAGTTGGTCCGACAGGCAACTTGTGGTTACCTTGGTGACTGCTCAGCCCCTCTGATGATCCATACGACTCACACTCCGACATGTCTCCAAGGGAGCCTGGGAGAAAGCTTTCATTAACATCCAGCATTCATCACATATCCCATTAATCATCTGCAGCAACATAAAGAGGGTTGTGTTACCAGTGACGTGACGGCCACTGACATCTTTGTTTAACAGCTCGTGCCAGGTGTCCCAGAAACTGTCGTTGCCAGAAATAGATGAGGCCGCTGAGAGAGAAAGAATTCAAAGGATTATTTACTTTAGTTTAACAGACCATGTGTTTCTGTGTTGTTACTATGAACACAGATTCAAGACGTACTTCAACATTTTTGGAAATATGCTCACTCACCTTCTCACATTGACTTTGGTGAGAATATCATTAGTATGATGTACATTAAATTAAAACTACAACCGGCCGCCGATTGCTTGAAGAAAGGGAAAACGGCTAATCTGCTCAGTATAAAGGCAATAAAAAGATAGTTTATGTCATATGAATATTTAGAATATATATATTTTTACAGTGATTTTCGCTGCTGACTCACTGAAAGAAGATTCGTGCAACGACTGTCAGGCTTTCTGTACGTTTGCATCATCAGCATTAATCTCCACATCTAAAAAATTCAACAAAATGTCAAACTAAACTTTTAATATACATTAATTATGATAATGCTGACTATATCCTACAGCATCATATAACACCACATGCTGCAGTGCATTTAGTTCACCTTTAGAAAGTGTCGGAGAGGTGCTGCCAGATCTGTCTTTTGAATGAGCAGATAGTCTGGGGACTCTGTCTGAGAGCGGACTCCTGTCCTCTGGGTATTTCCACAGCGGTCCATCTGACAGGACAGGAGAGTTGTTGTCGTAGGGAGACACCTCTCCACTCCATGCTTTGGAGTCTCTGGACAAGCATCGCTCGGTCGGAGAGAAGGACTCTTCTGCTCTGAGAAGGCTTGGATCTCTGCCCAAAGTGGAGGAGACCCGATAAAGTTTGCATAAAAAGCACAGAAACTTACAATAATATGACTGTAAGTGAAGAACACATGAGACAAAAGGTAAAAACTCACGAGCAGTGCGAGGCCTTCCTCCTGAGTAAATAATCGACAACATCAGGATCCGTTTCCAGTAAACTCATCAGCACCTCATTCTGCAGGTCAGCAGGAACCTGCAGAACCCAAAACCTTGTCTCACACATGCTCATACCAAATGGTGACAGTTATAAATTACAATTGTTGGTTGCAGTGATTCATTAATCACACTTCAACTGAAGTGAAATTAACAATCACGCACTTCTCCACAGTAACTAATTACTGCGCTGGGTATAAATAACAGCATTATCACCAAAGCAGAACATTTTATTAAAAAACTTTTTGTTCCCAGTATTTAGAGTATTATCTACAATACAATACGCACTGTAAGAGGAATGACTCGTACTAACCTTGATAGAGGGATCATTTGACAATGTACAAAAAAAAAAAGAGCAACACTTAGGAATGAAAATGTGTTTTGCTGTGATACCACTTAGTTTCATATTTTTAAGCTTTTGTAAGTAAAACTAATATTCACATTTATTAGTGCGTTCCACTCTAATAAGCATACAAATTCCTACAGGCAACATTTTTGTAGAACAAAAAGACTTTTGGTTGTCAGTGGCCACTGCTTACCATAAACAGCGAATGGTATGTATTGATCATCCTTTGGACCACGCTGATGATGGCCATGCTCTCCTCTGCACGAGCAAAACTCTGCACCGCAAACTCTTTGTCCTTTTTCTGCTTGTGCAAGAGGTTGGGTCCAAAGATGGTCGCCAGATTGAGTGATGTCATCTTGTTTCCTGTTACCTTAACACAGCAGAGACAGAATTCATACGACCGGACAGCACGAACACAAACACACATGCATGTACAGACACTTCGGCTGGATATTAAGAAATGTACATTTTCAAATCTTAGCAATCCAAGTGAAATCGGTTTGATCCAAATGTATTTTTTACCAATAATCATTACGTTGAACCAAAAGCTAATCTTATTCAGCAGCTTTACTTTCATGACTGGGATCACTGGAGCTTCATTTTTCTAGCTGACTCCCTCCACCATGGAGGTTATGTTTTCTTCTGTTTGTTTTTTAGCAGGATTACGCAAAATCTACTCCACCAAAATGTTGTATATTGTTGGGGCATGGCCCAAGGAAGTTTTTTAAACTTTCCTCAACATCTTCAGACATGATTTCTCAAAGAATAATTAATGTTAATCTTGATAATTAGTGAAAATCAGTTATAGTCAGAAGACTGATATTTATCAGTTTGTGCAATTTGGTGCCGATCCAAATAAAAATCTAGATCTAGCTGATGTAATGTGGTTTGGAACTTGACGGAGGTATGTGCTCTACTGAGTCAAATTGTGCTTTTGTCATTTTCCCGGATGCGTGAAAGCTCTTCAATGCACAGAGTAATTTTCGTATTAAGATTCTTTTACTGTAGACAAACTCTCCTCAGCACGTAGGTCATGTTGGTAATGTGCACGTAAAACAAACCAAGAGCAAGTGGACTTTTCCCTTAATATCACATACTCTATATATAATAGAGTATGTGTGCTGTAGGACCGAGGTCACGAATGAACTGGTTTTAAATGCATGAGAAAGTAAGTTCTCCATTGTTAGTTTTCAAAAAAGAAGATGAAACACAAAGAGAATTTGGATCCACATTTACCAGCAGAAATGCAATGTTGCATGCAAAGTGCAAGGTCGTGATGCACTAAAGGACAATGAGTTCATACTAAAATGCATCACGCTCTGCATAACAATATGGAGTAAAATGGAATATAGAAATGTGGTAGTGATGAAAATAAATCATGTACTCAGTTGTCACAGTGCTTATCTCAGAACTTATAACCAGCTATTTCAAAGTGCATGACAGAAATGGTCTTGACTGGAATAGATGGAATGGAAAAACATTATCTGGAAGGTGCAGAGTGAAAAGATGCAAATGTGTAGATGGTGAGATAGAGTCTGTTCACAGAGCGTTTCCCCTCAATGTGACATTTCCCTATACTTCATGTTTACAACACATGAGCTGGGGAATTAACAAATTATGACAGAACAGAACGATGCTCACAGAGGCACAATGTTTGTGTACTTATTGTTTAGCAGGGCGATGCTGGTTGTGCATCATTTAGTCGAGTTTCCCACAATGGATCATCATGCATATTGGTGCTACGCTTTGGCAAAGTACTTTCGTCAAATTAGAAGCTGCAGCTGTGACAAACATCTGTCTTACTGCCTTTTGAGGGCTGTTGGGATTCACTGTCATCACATTTAAGTTGTAAAATTACAGCATTATTTTTTGATAGTTCCTTTTTCGAAAAATATTTCACCTCGTGTGCCTATAAAATGTGTCTGCGATTTTGTTACAGACCACACTTGTTACACTGCCATAAAAAACAGGGCATGTCAAGTTTCTTTACCTCCTGCCCCTCGTTGTCCAGGCTGTCTTCAGCGTGTGCAGCCACAGTGGACAACAAGCAGAGGAGACGCAGCAGCGTGTCACTGTTACAGGGAGGAAGCAGAAACATCAGGAGCTGGATGGCGCTCTCTTGTTCCGAGTGATCCAGCACTGCAGAAAAACAAGCCACGGGTTGACGTCAGTTTTCAAATAAATCACAGAATTGTGCGAGGGGAGTGAGTTGTTGTTGTTGCATGTGTGTGTGTGAGGTGTTCAGAATGTGTGTTCTCCTCACACAGTGTGTTGATGAAGGCCGTGTACAGTTCTCTGGTCAGCAGTGGATCGGGCATGTCTCGGAGGAATTCTTTCAGCAGCGCAGCAACATCGTGGACACTGTGCTCCTCATCCAGGCTCACCTCCCACCCCTGGTCAAACTCCTCACGAAGCTGGAGGAAATATTGTGACAGTTAATGAAGCGAATATGTTGCTGACGGTGGATGCAACTCGAGCAAAGTGAAGAAATCTCACCTGTCGCACTCTCTTCTTGGAACTCCCTACCCGGAATATTCCAACCGTTTGCAGGCCTAAATACAAAGATGCTCACTTAGTGCCAATGTGGTGGCAAAAGATTATCATCAAATGGATTTTAATTAAATCATTTAGAAAGTGTGTCTGACAGTTGCTTTTGATAATAACTCTGATAACGTGTACCGTGTTTTTCTAGGTGCTGGCAGCAGAGATCCAGCGCCCTGGGCACCTGTCTGTAAATAGGGTTAAGGCTGAGCTTTTTGTCATGGCGCTTCTTCCTTTTGCCAGCTGCCTCTTCTGGCAGAGACAGCTGGAGGGCCTCCAAGAGCCGAGACTGGTTATCATCAAGGTCAGTGATGCAATCTACAGACACTCCACCCTGTCAAGCAGATGGGTGACAACCATAAATTCAGTGCCAGTGACACAATAAGGTGCAGTCGTTTATCCGCACAGTGAGTGACTGTTCAGAAAGATATAAATTCCCAGAGAATTGTAAAGTGTGATCGGACAGATCAGGTGTACAGGCAGACAAAGCCTTACCCTCCTGCGAGTCCGCGGGGCTGCGTCCAGCACACTCAGAGGAGGAAATTCGTTAGGGGTCTCGGAGTTGGAGCTGAGCGACGAGGTGCTGCTGGAGAGCTCTTTGTTGGGCCGTTTGAGGCTGGAGGTGAGGTGAAGGAAGGATAACATCAGTTCAGTGGGGTCGCTGTGCTCCTCCCGCGGGGGATCATGCCTCTGCTTGTGCGTGCGGTCGTTTGAAATGACCTGCGACAGCGGAATGCCAAACGCCTGTGGCGCGGTCTCTGTACGAGAGGGCAGAGGGAGAGACAGGAAGACTTAAAGTTCATGTCTTTGGCTCCAAGTCAACAGGGAAATGTTAAATTACTCTTTAGACGTGTGTTCGTCATGGATCAAACTTTTTCTGTCTTCAATCATTCTTTATAAACAAACTTTGACTTTTGTGGCTCAAAATAAATGAGAAATACAGAGAGCATGCTCTGAAGTGCACGCTCAGTATTCAAGAATCAGGGAGCACATACTTTCTGAAATGCCTCTGTAAACAAACGCTGAAAAAGAGGAAAGAGGGGGCCGGCCCTGCCCGAGGATACGCTTTAATGAATGAGCCACCACTTAAGATTGTTTTTGTTATTTCCCTCGACTGACAGAGAACATCACTTTCCTGCCAGATTGTCGCAGCAGGGCGGGGCCGAGCGGCAGGGCTCCCTCTGAGACGCACTGCCGTACTGTAACGATTCTGATCGCTAGGTTCTCAGTGAACATAAACAGCTGAGGACGTCTGCTTCCCCGAGTCAACGCAGGTTCAGCCAAAAGGATCAAATCGACTCTTTTCAAGTTTCAGAGGCAGAGAAGGCTGGAAACTAATATCTATACTAGTTTGGAAAATTAAATGTGCTGTGAAATTTCCTAAAAATTCATTCTGCAACAAGACCCTGAACCTACATACAAAAGACAAATTGGACTAATACAAGCTACCACTACTACTAAACTACTACTACAGTTTTCAATATACTCCATAGCACTGAGGTCAACCAACCTGATGTCTCTGCCTTTACCGAGATCCAGGCTCAAAAATAAGAGGTGACCGGGCCTTTGCAGTGGCTGCATCTAATCTCTGGAACAGTTTACCTCTTCATATCAGAACCGCTCAGACTCTAGAAAACTTTAGACACACTTGTTCTCAATCGCTTTCAGTTTGAGTTTGAGACCTTGATTTCATCTGTTTTTGTGCTGAATTTGATTCTGAAATATTTATGTTTTTTTAATAAATATTGTATATTTTATATTCTTTAATTTTAAGCCTGTGAACTGCTATAATAATAAACTCAGACTTGACTATACATAGAGAGATCATTTAATATATATATTTAAAACCACATTACCTTTATCTTTACTCTTCTCTTTCGATAATGAATCCAACTTCTTCTTCAGTGACTTCTTGGGCTTGTGGCCTGAAAACAGACAATGGTGACACACAGTTAAACAAAAATCCTACCACACATGCTCCCATTTTACTTGTTCCAACCGAAAATCAATTAAGCAACATGAGAGTTACACAGCTAGAAAGAAATAGAGGGAACATTTCTCATCCTTTATGCTGCTCTAAATAAATAAAACATTCTGTGACAAGATTTTTGTCTGTGAGAAGAGGACAATATGTGTGTGTGTGTGTTTGTGTGTTTGCGCTCTAATACATTTAGGGATGGTGATGTGGCAGCCGAGGTCGCGATCCCGGAGCAATCGCCTAAAGGCCACTTCCTGGAGACGAACCCTCTCCAGCTCTGAGAGGCTTTGCAAGTGGACTGGCTTCAGGCCAACGCTGCATCCTGACACACTGTTCCAGGTGAAGTCACCCTGAGGACGGACACACACACACACATCAGAAACATCTATCATTGCTGTCACATACAGGTTCATGACCGGCCCGACTCTCCTCAGTCCCCCAGTGAGCGAGAACTGACAGATCTCTCTGCTTCACTTGTCAGCTGAAGAAGACGACGACATTAATCTGCTGTTTCCCCTGACAAGAACTGACAGTCTGTTTTCAGAGGTGTCAACTTCCTTGTGTTAGCATGCAGCCTTTGTACTGTGCATTTTTTGTTAACGCACATAAAAGTATTTCTTGTGATTGTAGAAGTGAGAATTGAGAGTTCATGACATTAGAAAAACAGCAAAACCAAAAGCTGTAACTGTAGCTGAAAGAAAAGAGCAGCAAAACTGTGAAGATCATCTTATATAAAAGAAAAAGCCAAATAGAATATAAGTGCACAATGCTGTTGTGTTGGAAATGAAATGGAAAATGAATCATGAACAATACTTCATGAGTTAATGTCGCTGCAGGTTAGCCACTCTGCAGGTTTAGCACTGTGCTAATGACGGGGCAAATAATATGATCTGAAATCCTCAACCTTTGAGCATCTCCATGCTGGAGATTAAGGCGCTTTGATCCAGCACAGTCAAGCCAATCATATGAGCCATGTACCAAAGAAGCTTAGTTACTCATTATCAGGATAAGGCTTACTCTAAAGTGGCTCACTCGCATTAAATCAGAATTAGGCCTGTGCGACAGTAGCATACTTTTTTTCCCGGTACACATACAGTACAGTATAAATACTCATGGTGGACACATGATGACGAAGACATCTGGCTGTTTGTTTACAGCACAGAGGCAGTGGTCACCAGCCTGTGTACGGTCTGTGTGTGGGAAACAGGTGAGAAACAATGTGGTAGATTAGCAACTTGTGTCTAATACCATTAGCAATATAATGGTTTAACTGCACAAAGACTTAATATTTGTTAAGATGGCTGTTTCAGTCCATATTACATCAAAATGAAATCAACCGTGGGGCTTCACTAATCATTCCTTTCATCACAGGTGACGACGGGGGGGCTCAGGAGGCAGTGAGGGTCGTCCACTAACCAGCAGGGCGGCCTCCTGGACATCCTACGGGCAAAGTGTCCTTTGGCAAGATACTGAACCCCTAACTTGCCTCTGATGACTGTGCTGCACATAGATGCACTGTATACATGTATGTGTGGCTTGATCATCAATTAATCATTTGGCATAAAAACAAAAGAGAGGAAATATCTGAGCAACAGTCCAAAATATTAAGATACTCAAATTAGTCTCAAATAAAACACCCATCCATCTAAAAACTGTTGCAATTAATTGTCAGTGAGAGTTCAGACCGACAGCAGCGTCCTCTTTAAATGTTGAATGGCACCCCAGATACTACCTACTAATTTAATCTGCCTACATTACTGTTAGGTTATTAACTGATATACTTAGTACCTTGCATCCACATCTTCTAATTCTGCATTTTAAAATATATATACCAAACCGGTGAAAGAAACAAACACACAGGTCTGGCAGAATGGGCGCAGGATGAGGGGCCACCCTGCAGTCTACAGGGGCCACACAGACTCAACACTGTTATTCCTTCATGCAAACGATGCGTGACAAACACATGTTGCATCAAATACAGTAAAGACAGAAGAAACAGTTTCGTAAGCCACTATTTGTCCTGTAGTTCATGTAAAATGCAGAGTTGTGTCATGTTTGCCGCTATCTGCCCATTTCTGTCAGACATTCCTCAGCTCTGACTGTATGGGAGTGGAAATTTTCCTCAGATCTGATGCGATTGTCAACTGCGTTCCCACACTTTCTCCCCGTCAGCAAAGAGGCTTCCTTCAGATCATTGTGTACAGAATTTTAACTAAAAACTCATAAACAATTTCTTATTCTAACTGTCAGGAGATGGCTGAGTGAATACAACACACACACAGATCCATTAACCTGGCAAAAATGGCAGAAATCCAATACTCTAAAAGTGAAAGTAAGAACTTTGACTTCTGTGTTTGGAGAAATAAACCAGCCTCAGGGTTACCTTATTGTCGTTTTCTTTTTACATATAAACTATATGCTGACAAAAAAGCCACTTATTCCACTTTTAAACTTTTCTTTATGAAGTCATTTTTATAATTTTATAATAAAGCCACCTATAAATCAAGCACTCCTTCAAATCTGTAGTTTTTCTTTATAATAAAAATGCATCTAAACTCTGACATTTCAGTGCATAAGTCAGAGCCTCGCTGAAACATAAAGATTTTGTGAGCCACCCCTGGAACACAATGACAGGAAATGTGCAAGGTAGTTCATACAATATATCCAGATTGAGAGCTGAGATTACACCACCCAGCCGCACTTGAACCAGAGAGGTGATGAATATTCCTCAGAGCTCAGGAAGCCATTCAATGGGGGCATTATGCAAGAGTTTTCCGTGGTAGTTTGTGTGTTACTTGTCCCTGCTTGTGTTCATGTTTGATTTTTCTTTAATTTAATGCTGCCCATGTTAAACCAGGAAACCAGGCAGAAGAGATGGACCTTCATGGTTAAATAAAGGTGTCCTGTCCGCAGTTTGTTTAGAGAAAGTTAAATTTGCTCCCATCACACCCTCTGTCTTTTCATTTTCCAGTAATAAATGAATCAAAAAAAATTTGACAAAACCAAAATACACTAATGTTGGAGTGTCCCTCAAAACTCAACACCAACACAAAGTCCTTCAATCACTCACATCCTGTTCTTCAAATTAAAATAGGCACTGCCGTACACCCATTGTTTCACATACATGGACAGACGCTATATTTTTATTCTGCTTTCAAGGTGATGTCATTGAATACTCCGCAAATCTCTTTTAATAATACTGATTTCAGAAATACCAAACATTATACATTATGTTCTTAAATCTGTTTTGTTTTAAAAAGGTGCTAAAGATAGATTTTTTTATTATAAGACCTGATATGTATTATCATTGTTATAGCTCAGGGAAGTAGGTGAAGTCCATTAAATTACAATATGTTTATTGTGAAAAAACACTTCAAGGTGAAACTTCTGATTCTCACACGTGTTTAAACTTGTGTCAAGTTAAATGTCCACTTCAGTGACACGTGTCTGCACATGTTTACTATCAATACCGTTATTAACATTATTCCTTAACTGTTGAAAGACAAAGCAGTTATTTTGAGTCCATCTAATCACAAAATTAAATCAACGGTGGGGCTTAAAACTATAAGTTAAGTATTATTAACTATTCAACTTTATAGATACTTCTCATTAAATGAATCCGCCAGTTAATTGATTGATTATTTTGCGTGTGACCGTATTTCCTCCACTTGAGAGAGACGTTGAAACAGAAGCAGCTACTCACAGGGAAGGTGATGCTCCGTCGAGGAAGCGGATTCTCCATCAGAAGCAAAGACAGAAGCAAACCCCGGTCACCACAGACAGTCACCGCTCACACTGTCTCACCGAGTCCGCACGGAACCGACGCCATTAGACTCGAGACGAAACTCCCCAGACAAACAAACACAGAACCACGTGGGGCTGGACTCGGTCTGGAGTCTGGACGCAGCGCAGAAGAGTACAACAAGTTCAGGGACTGACTTAACCCTCAGTCAGTGAGGAACACGACCACGAGGGGGCACTGTTCTCTCCGCCTCCTCACCTGGACTGATCACGCGCAACCAGGTAACAGGGGCGTTTCAAGGTAGTTTAGGGGCCACAAGCAAAAGGGAAGAAACACCCCCCCATCCCAACCACCTAAAAAGAACAAAAACAAAAACACGTGATATTGGACTAATTATTCCAATCTTCAAACTCATTCTTTTAGTGTCTAAACTATTAACAACGTGCATATATTTTATAAAATAATATAATATGGACAATATCGTCTCTCTTTGTTAAACTAATAAAAGAACCATCTTAAACTTTCTTTTGCATCCTTACAGGCAGCAATATCACTGTCTTCACAGCTCAGCTCATGTTGTTGCAACTTAGGTGAGCGGGTACATTCTTCCATGACAAGTGTGTAAGTGACTCAAAGTGCCAGAATCAGGCCCAGCAAGTTTAAGAGTAATGCCAAATTGTGCAATAAATTAAAAAAATGTTTTTAAAAAGACACGGCGTTCGTCTCAGTCAGACACGTAAATATTAAGAAGTATATGTAGAGTCTGACAGGTTTATTGCAGAGACAGACGTTCGGGAAGCCTGGGATGAGAAAATATACAGTTTGGCTGCAGCTTTGTAACAGAGATCAGTTTTCATATTCCTACGAGCTGTTTCTGCTTCAGGGCATATGAGCTCCTCCAGAGCTCAGACTGATGTCGACGAGTTTCCATCTTAATCACTTTACTCTCTGTGCATTGGTCAGCATTCAGCCTGCGTGATTTTAAGGAGCAGTGGGACACTCTTATCACACAGTGTGGTTTTCAGTTTAAAATATAATATTTCTCTATCAGAATGAGGCTCACCACTTTGTTTAATAAATAAGAAAATAAACTACATTTCATTAATAATATGAAAATAATCAACAAATGCCTGTCTGATGAGTCTGATGAGAAAAACTGTCACACTGGCAAAACAAATAGAGCATAATCTACCACATAACTTTGAATTCACTCTCCTCCACCCTGAGATGAAGGGAATGACAGTAATGTTAAAACAACGTGTTCAATATTAAGAATAAAGACAGTGCTACTTCTACATACGACATAAGCTAACAACGAGGCAACATGAACAAGGACAAAACTGCAGTACTCGCTTGATACAAGATCTGTGCACACATTGTTAGATTCTCCCTCGTGTCAAACCCTTAATCTACATCCCAGTGATTAATGTCCACGTTTGGTCACTTCACCAAGACATCAGAATGATGAATGACTCCCTCTAAAGGCTTTATAAGTTCCTGCACTTTCCTTCAGGAGGCTTGTGAGAGCCTGTGATGAGATACGTTGCATTGCATCTGATCTGCCTCTTTAGAGCGACACACAAAAGTATCTCTTGAAGTGTTTTGCATTACACCAAATGAATGAAGATTACATGAGACGCTGCCTGGGCCCCGTCTCCCACAGACACAATTAAAATGGACACTATTACAGCAGACTGTGGAAAAAAGAAAAAGATACTGAGCAGTTAATAAGTTAGGTTTTTTTTTTACTTTTAAAGGATTTAACCAAGATGCAAAATTTTTCCAATATCTCACAAAGTCTTCATGTCCAGAGGGACGTTGGAGAACAGCCCAAAATGAAATGAATGAATAAGCTAAAATGAATCTGAAACATCACCATAAACAATGATGAGCACTTGAGGAGATCCACCATATAGACAGTAGCTGAACTGCAGAGAACAGTGATTCCTACACTGTCATGATATTTAAGGGCCTGCAGAACACTTCAAGATCAGTTTTACAATAAAATGCCTGAAGATGTAAACTGACTGCAGGAGGTCAGGAGGTATTACTACACTGGAAATGAGATATAGATATGTGGGGAAGAAGAATATATAGAGCCATACCATCAGGGATTTCAGGGACTTTCAGTACCTAGACTAGATAATTGAAATACCAACACACATATGTATAATATCTATATTAAATACAAAATACTTGAATTAAGAAAATGAACATATTTGTTTTTACGTTAAGTATAAATACACATCTTTCTGCATTGTTTCTGCATCTGTAAACAAAAATGTAGATACAGATAAGAGAGCGGTTTAGGCCAAACCCAACTGAACCCGAACCCGACATACTGTTTTTTTGTGTCCGAACCTGATTACAGGCTTGTACAATATAACAAATCAAGTAAATCACCCAACAAAAAGGGCAATACGATAACCGAAATCTTTCTAGGGGACCCAAAGAAGTGATGAGCCTGGCTGGGGTTCAATGGTTTGTGAAGTTCCATAGTTACTGACGAGTATAATGAAGTATAACGGAACATTTCATACCCTATCGTGCCACCAGAGTCTGTGAGAGACTGAGAGGTTGTTTTGGTTACTCAGTTGAAGCCTCCAGTTACTGAGGATGGCTAAACCTTTCACATACATCATGCAGATCATACACTTTACCTCAGTGATGTAATCATACAAAGGTGCTTGAAACAATTATTTTACACTGGTGTTTGAGTCCAAGTCACCGTATAATGTTACTGCTAGCGGACGCGGGCTGGATGCTGCGGCTGCGAGCCATACAAACGGCCAGTCTCCTGTGGGAAGAAATATGTGCCTGAGGGACTGTAGCCAAGGATCAGGTCATGCTGTTGTACTGTGAGAAGTAAGAGTTGAAGCGTTCTTCATGTAAACCAGATGTCTCTGCTTTTCATCTGAGCTCAGACTGCTGAGAACCTGGGTGACCGCGCTTCAAATGGAGCGCAGTCACATCCAGCCTATGGAAAACATAAGGTCATTTACGACATCGATCAAAAATACCACTATGACAGAGTGTGTTTTCACGTCAGGGGTGCACTTCAGTAAGTTATCATTTGAATCATCTACACATATGCTAAACGCTGAGATTCAAACAGATAATAAACTCCTAATTAGCAAGCTCTGATGCCTGGTATGCATTTTAACAAGAGGCCTGAGACATCGCACAGCTCATAAAGTCTTGTATAAGTGCAGCTGGGGCTGTCGGGTGGAGGTGCAGAGGGTGAAATACTGACCACCTGACTTCCCCCGTGTTACTGCGACTGTGTCTTGGATACTTTTGTCCCTGAATGAACTGCTGCTTGGATGTTTGCACACCCTGAAGACCTGAGTTTCATTACTTCACTCAGAGCGAGGTTTGCACAGAATGAGGCATTTACTTACTGTCAGCGTAAGCCGACAGCGTGGTCATGTGAGTCTCCAGGAGAGATCTGCACACCTAAGACTGCAGCTGAGTTTACCTCAGTCTTTCAGGAGATCTTAAATACTATGGTAGAGTACAGAAATGTCTAAGAAGTAGTAAAAAAAGCAAGTTATTAATGAGAACTAATAGTGGAACTTCAGTTTTGTAATATATCCGTTGTTATCTGGAGTGAAGTTAATTCTTTCACCTTCAAAATGCTTTGTAAAAACTAGGCTGTCGTGCAGCAGCTCACTGAACATAATGGTGTGGGCAGCAAACGAGCACTCCCCAAAGTTATAAATCACATTAAATATCCTCTCTGACACTGAGCTGTCTCCAATATTAATCGGCTTCATTCAGATTTACTGTGATTACATTTCTAAGGGCTCTGGCTCAGTGAAGACCTGGCCTCTTGTTGATGGCTGAAAGAAGAGACCAGATACCTGGTATTCATTACAAGCCTATTATAGTGTAACATCTGTGATACATTTCCATTATACTAAACAAACAGTGTAACCATGAGGACCAGCTTCGGCTCAGCAGGACAGATTGGCTCAAATTGTGAACATGTGACATAGCTATTATATTTTATTTAAGTATTGCAAAGAATTCTACACTAAACATGTGTTGAAATAAGTCCACTTGTTTTCTGCTTATTAAAAGATATAGCAAAGCATCTTCTAATAAAGACAGTCTTTTTTTATGTGTTAAGGTCATAAAATGATACCAAAGAGGAATGTCAATGCTTTTAACTGTGCATTTACTCATCTAATAACTATTGCTTTGCATGATGTGGTGATAAATTAAATCAATCTTTTGGCCAGCTAGTAAATGAATACATAAATACATCTGGAAGATTAGGAGGGATTAAAATACTCACTTTAAATTAAAACAGTTAAAAGAGAAAACATTTACCCATGATGGGAGGGCAGAGATTTTTTTTGTTTTTTTGTTCTCAAGCATTTTGCACAGATTCACAATCAACACATCATGCAGCTGGTGGAGAAGTTATCAAATCAAACCTTGATATGGGACAAGAAATGATTAAATCTACAACACCTACAAACACTTCCACACTTTTCCCACCTTTAAGTTTGTATTGAGATGTTGATTTTGTTGTTGTTGAGTGAGACACACCAAGCATGACAAAGTTCTCCAGTCACACCTCTTGCAGCAGACACCGAGCATGTCAGCACAAGCAAATGCTCCTGCTGACATTATTCCAGCAGCAGGAATGAAATGAATCACTTCTTAATGACCAGTGACGCAGCAACACAACTATAACAGAACTCCTGCATCAGAAGTCCTCACATAATGTGTGTCCCATTACTCACAATGGTGATGTTGAAATCATGGAAGAAAACCATTTCCTTGAGGATTAAGTGATCACTGAGAGTCTATGTAATGTGCAGCAAGCTCACTGTGAAACATTTTCATGAGAGTTTGAAGGAAAGTACTGACAGTACTGTGCTTGGATACACATCCATTGATACTGTAGCTACTTGTTGAATTTGGATCCAAGCTGTGCACATAGGATCTGTTTAATTCTCGTATTTGTGTGAATGCAATTACCACAACAGTACAAAAAAATGTTTGAAAGTGATTTCCAGCTCTTTTTCTATTAACACTACTACAGTCAAATCATCATTTAATGCAAACAACTAAAGCCTGTGACCTGATGTTTACACATGGATCAGGTTAAGGAGGAATATATGGAATAGTTCACTTCAGTCCA